ACCCCCGCAATTTTTTATTTAATCAAGAAAACGCTCTTGATACTTCATTTTGGCGCCCCACGTGGGGCCTGTGATAATTTAAAGATAAAATATCGTGAAATCTCGCACTTTCGCGAAAAGTCAACTTAGCATTCTCGGCTACCGTTTCTAAAACGTAGCTCAACATTCACGGCATCAAATGAGTTTCCTACCGTAACAAATATATTTTCGACATTTTGGGCTGCTTATCCAAAAACGCAGGCCGCACTGTGCATAAGGAAGCTTGTGTATCCATCGGTACCTGGTACACCGAAAGCATACATCTTTCGACATAGTAAGGCTGCCGGAGTCTCAAACCCGCGCAATCCCGTTTCAAACACATTGCTATAGGAGCTTTGTAGTTGCTAACTATTTCGCTACAGGAGCGTTGTTGTTAGCGGTTCTTTCATATCAGGTCACCTTGCAAGGCAACGTTATTTGATATTGCGAGCACATACAGTACATACAAGGTAGTCTCACACTACTTCTCTTGCAAGCGTTGTTGTTATTGTTGGCAGTATTTCAAAGCCAAGCCGCTATAGTAGAATTGGGCTCGCAAAAGGTCCCGCCAAACAAAATATACTTAGAGCTAAATTTTGTACAGCCCATAAATCTGAGAAGCGGGCAATAGATTTGCTATCTCATAACCATGCCCAATTTGGAGCAACTTAAACAGCAGCGCGCTAATCTGCGTCGAAACATATCGCGCATTCGCAATTCTGTCGACACAAAACTTGCAATTTCGTCCGCTGAATTGAATTGTCGTTTGGCTATATTAGAGGCCTACTTTAAGCAAGTTATGACAGTTCAGACCGAAATTGAGCAGCTGGATCCAGACGAAGCAGAGCGTGAGACCAGAGGAGAAATAGAAGATACGTACGTCGCTATCAAGGTGTGCATTAATGAGCAGCTAGGTTCAGATGCCCACAATTTGACTGTTGCTGACTCAGTTCATTGCGCTTCTCACTCAACTTCTATGAAGCTGCCACGTCTGTCACTACCAGTTTTTGATGGAAAATACTCCGACTATAAAAACTTTATAACATCGTTTAAGTTAGTCGTTGATAAGCAGTCTACTTTGTCATCCATCGAAAAGTTCAATCAACTAATCAATTGCTTACGTGGCCCGGCCTTAGAAACTGTCAAGGCTTTTCAAATCACTTCGAAAAATTATTCAAAGGCGCTGGAACGCCTCAAGGCCCGCTACGATAACACTGGTCTACAAGGGTTTTGCGAATAAGACGGGACCTGGTGTTTCCGAACGGATTTTTCGTGCTGAACACGAATCTGGGGTCCAAAACTTCCCATCACGTCACGTTTTCGAGAAAAAAGGGGTTGAAACCCCTAAAAACAGCGTTTTTGGCCATTTTTGAAAAATTGTAGAGCTGAACCCTGACGTGCTACAAACTTTGTATATGTCAGAAATTAAAGGCTAAATCGTGCCCTTTCGAATGAGCCCTATGCCGAATTAATCGCATGCACCCTTAGATCAGGGGGTGTATTTGTGTCTAGGAGTCCAATTTTTATATCCACCATATTCGACCCGTCATCTTAAATTTTTAAAATCTAACTGCAGATTCGTAATCAGCGACTTTTAATATAGTTAAAACCTTGGCATTATTAATTTTCTATGATCGTTTAAGATTAAATTCTTTCTGTGATCAATTTTTCCTGCACCCCTAAACACAAATACACCCCCTGCTTTAAGGGTGCACGCGATCAATTCGGCATAGGGCTCATTCGAAAGGGCACGGTTTAGCCTTTAATTTCTGATATATGCAAAATTTGTACCACGTCAGGGTTCAGCTCTATAATTTTTCGAAAATGGCCAAAAACGCTGTTTTTAGGGGTTTCAACCCCTTTTTTCTCGAAAACGTGACGTGATGGGACATTTTTGACCCCGGATTCGTGTTCAGCACGAAAAATCCGTTCAGAAACACCAGGTCCCGTCTTATTCGCAGAAAAAAAGTTGAAATTTGTAGACCAGTGTAATCCAACGTTCGTATTCTTGGACAACATAAATTCGCTTTTTACTTTACCTAGTGTTTCAAGGTCAAATGCGAAACAGCTTCGTAGCCTGATCGACAACTCATCAGCCTTGTACAATTCATTGTTGTCACTGGGTAATGCATCGCAAATTGCTGAGGCTATGCTCATCTCCATCGTTATGGAAAGGGTGGATCAAGACACCAAAAAGAAATGGAATGAGCATTTGAACTTCAGCGATCTTCCTACATGGACATCCTGCGTTTCGGTTGTCGAACGACATTGCCAATTCTTGGAGTCAATAAGTAAGCCCGGTACCGATAGTAGCGCGAGTCAGCAAGCTATTGGTAAGCCACGAAACCAAAAACACCAGCGCCAAGGGTTGACTTTCAACTGCACATCTCAAACGTGTCATTCATGCGCTAGCACGGAGCACAGAACTTACAGGTGTCCTCAAATCGTTGGTGCTACACTCAATCAGCGTTACGACATCACTAAGCGACTGGGACTTTGTCTCAATTGCTTGGGTAAGGGTCATCAGGCTGCGAAATGCCCATCCACACACAGGTGTCGATCGTGTTCTCGCTCCCATCATACCTATTGCATCGTGATTCAGCTGGTATGTCTTCGTCTTCACCGCAACTCCCTGAAGTACCACAGAAGAACTCAGAAGCAGCTGTTCACACTCACACCGGCTTGAATCGAATAATTTTAGCCACAGCTTTGGTTCTGGTCAAGGATGCGTCAGGCTGTTATAAAATTAGTCGTGCGCTCCTAGACTCTTGTTCACAAGTCAATTTCGTATCGGATCAATTCGCACAGGCTCTCGGATTACCTCGCAAACGAAGCCATATGGAAATTCGCAGCATTGGAGAATCCCAGACTCAGATAAAACATCGAACGTCTACAACAATCAAGTCACGTTTTGGAGAATTCGAACTACCGCTAGATTTCTGTGTTACTTCGAATATTGCATATCATCCAGACACAGAAATTGATATCTCATCATGGAAGCTGCCTCAAAATACTCCGTTGGCCGACGAAGGGTTCAACAAAGCTCGTCCTATTGATTTGCTGTTAGGGACAGAAGCATTTTTCGACATCTTATCCATTGGCCAAGTCAGGCTTGGTGTAAATATGCCAGTGTTGCAGAAGACGGTCCTTGGATGGGTAGTTTCGGGCCGTTGTCAAACCGGCTCCACCACATCACACAGTTACTCGATTTCCATGGACGAAGTCATCAACAACAACATAGAACGCCTGTGGCGCATTGAAGAGGTTAACACTTCTGTTGACATTTACACTCCAGAGCAGCGCAGTTGTGAAGAGGCTTTCAAAAACACCGTTCGCCGACAACCTGATGGCCGAGTGGTAGTTCGCCTCCCATTCAAAGATGATCCTGGTTTGTTAGGTCACTCGTATGAAATTGCCCGTAAACGTTTTGAAGCTCTTGAGCGCCGCTTGAGCCGCACATCAGATGTGAAAAGGCAATACGCAGATTTTATGTTAGAGTACGAACAGTTGGGCCATATGAGCTTGGTGACAACACCGAAGTTGGATGTCCCACATTTTTACATACCGCACCACTGCGTACTCAAGCCCAACAGTACCACTACGAAATTAAGAGTGGTTTTCGATGCCTCTTGTCAGACAACGACACAAAGGTCTCTGAACGATTTACTAATGGTCGGACCGACCATACAGCCCGACTTGTACACGTTACTTCTACGCTTCCGTACATATCGTTATGCAATTACCGCCGATGTCGTCAAGATGTTCAGACAGATTCTTGTCGACCCCCATGATCGCAAGTTTCAATATATACTTTGGAGAAGTACACCCGATCAACCATTACGCACATTTGAACTGAATACAGTCACTTATGGGACTGCTACCGCGCCATATCTCGCTATACGTAGCATGCAATACTTAGCTGAGCAATGCATGGACGAGTTCAAGGTAGGAGCCGAGGCTATAAAATCATCCTTCTACGTTGATGATTTCATTTGTGGAGCTAACACGTTGGAATGCCTTCATCAAATCAAAACGGAGGTAATTGAGATACTTCGTCGTGGTAGATTTGAGCTAGCGAAATGGCACTCGAACTATAGCGAGTTTGTTAATGACCGTACGATTAAAGATCTTAACTTAGAAGACGATTCAGTAACCAGCACTCTGGGCTTAAGGTGGGATCAACGAGAAGACGTCTTTATGTTTGCATTTGTACTCAAGCGCACATCACATGCTGTCACGAAGCAGTCTATACTATCAATTGCTTCGTCTCTCTTTGACCCGTTGGGCTTGGTGTCACCTATCATCATACTTGCAAAAATACTTATACAAGAGCTTTGGTTGCTAAAATTACAGTGGGATGAGTCAGTTCCGCACAACATTCACACCGCATGGACATCGTTCCTCTCATCGCTTTCATCGTTGGAATCGCTAACTATACCGCGCTATTGCCTTCAACCCAGCGTTCAGAGCCTTCAGTTGCACGGCTTCTGTGATGCCTCAATTAGGGCTTATGGATGCTGTATATATGCACGCACAGTTGACCCTAGCGGTGAAGTCAAGGTCACGTTGATTACATCCAAGTCGAGAGTCGCCCCAACGAAGAAACTGTCATTGCCCAAATTGGAATTATGCGGTGCTCATTTGCTGTCACAACTTTACGCTAAAATAAAGGTGAATTTCGGCGATACCCAATATACAACGTATCTATGGAGCAATTCACAAATCGTTCTACACTGGATTCAACAGCATTTCGCCGCACTATCTACGTTCGTAGGAAATCGTATTTCTGAAATACAACAAAAAAACATCTTGTTGCGAATGGAAATACGTTTCAACGCACTATAATCCAGCTGATCTGCTTTCCAGGGGGTGGTCAGTGAGTGAGCTGCAGCAGTCCATATGGTTCGAAGGGCCGGAATACCTGCAACGCCACCAAGACGAGTGGCCGACGCACCATCGAGGTGATATTGATCAAGATATAGTGAACTTAGAGAAACGTAAATCGGCTTTCGCTACTGTTAATGCCACTAACGACCTACTCGAAGCAGTGTATAAAATTAGCTCGCACAGCCGATGCTTGCAAATCGTAGCCTGTATGTTTAGGTTCAGCAACTTAAGTAGAAAACTGGGTTCGTTCGATACATTGTCGCCGTCACCACAAGAGCTGTTACATGCTTTGCATTGCATCATTTGGAACCTGCAAATAACGCACTATTCCGATGACATCAAAGCACTTCGCAAAGGCCAACAGGTCTGTAGTAATCTTAAATCTTTAAATCCTTTTTTGCAGATAACTGACGGGTTCATGCTGATGAAAGTTGGAGGTCGATTGGAGATGGCAAATATTCTGTATACACAGAAGCACCCGATACTACTTCCAGGCAAGGATGACTTTGTCCGCCAGTACGTGCAGTTCGTTCATCGCCAAAACTACCATGCGGGTCCAAAGGCATTAGTTGCACTCATACGCCTACGCTTTTGGATCATCAATGCACTGGATTTAGCTCGCCGTGTCGTCCGATCTTGCGTGCACTGCGTTCGTTATCGGCCAAAGCTGGAAGGGCAAATAATGGGTCAGCTTCCCGTCGAACGACTTACCCCGTCAAGACCATTTGCAAGATGCGGAGTGGATTTCTGCGGTCCAGTCAATACGTACCTACGCCTTCGAGGCAAGGTTCCCTACAAAAGCTACATCGCAATTTTCGTGTGCTTCGCGACGAAGGCAGTGCACGTTGAAGTTGTGTCAGACTTGTCGTCCGATGCATTTATAGCCGCCCTGAAACGGTTGGTAGCCAGGCGTGGACTACCGTCCGATATCTTCTGCGATAATGCTACCAATTTCGTTGGAGCCAGCAACCAATTAGAGGCTCTCAATCAATTTTTGTTTAAGGATGACACAATCAAATCGATCAACAAATTTTATGTACGTGAGTTCATCAACGTCCATTTCATCCCTCCCAGAGCCCCCCATTTCGGCGGCTTGTGGGAGGCTGCAGTTAAAAGCGTCAAGGGACTAATCAACCGCACTCTTATGAACGCTAGTTTAACATTCGAGGAGCTTACAACTGTCACAGCTGAGGTGGAGGCGATTCTGAATTCTCGCCCTTTGTCACCACTCTCTTCAGACCCGAATGACCTAGCCGCACTCACCCCGGGCCACTTCCTCATTGGCGACTCATTACGTGCATTGCCCGAGACACCCGTCACAGAGCTGGGTAAGTTAGAACGATGGCGAAGAGTGGGCGCTATCAAACAACAACTTTGGCGTCGATGGTCGCTGGAGTATATCAATGAGCTGCAGGTGCGTAGTAACTGGACCAAGCCATCCCCAAATGTGTGTGTGGGAGCGATGGTTATCGTGCATGACGACAATTTACCACCGCAGTGTTGGATGCTAGGTCGTATCGAAAGAGTCATACGTGGATTGTCCTGATCGAGTACGCGTGGCTGATGTTCGCACTGCAAAGGGAGTTATCCGCCGCCCCATACAAAAGATAGCGCTATTACCAGTTACTTGAAAGTTCTACGTACTTTCAACGGGGCCGGGATGTTGGGTCAGATGCACATTATTTAGGTCATATCAACATTGTCTAACTTACATTTATAAGGGTTAAGGTTAAATGTATATCTAGCTCTTGCTGAAAAAGCATTGTTAACTTAAGGTTTAATATTTTGCTCTTATACGTGTACTCCCGCTACCTGTCATTGTGGTTTCTTCTTTTGCCCTTTTTTCGCAAACTGATGGAGAGAAAAATAAAGTTTTTGGGCTGTGTAGTTGAACAGCGAGACAACACGCGTGTTTTATTTGCGATTATTCACCCCCGCAATTTTTTATTTAATCAAGAAAACGCTCTTGATACTTCA